ATTCAAAATACAAAGCCCTACTGCTTTCATAATAAAACCCTAAATTCATTCAAAATTATTGTATGCTGCTTAAAAAAACACAATAGAGAGAAAACAAGTTTTATAATTGAGAAGACTTAATTTAGAATCACAGTTTTTTCCTTCCCAGCTCTGTGATCATGAGCCAGTTACAGAGGTACCTTGGTTCACGAACTTAATTCGTTCCACGATTCTGGGGAAGATGGCCACCTTCATGTTCATGCAGGCAAGATGGCTGTGGTCATGTTCATCACCTCATGAGGAGTTCATGAACAGAAGCAAAATTCTTTTCGAACAGAAGCATCCATGAACTGAGGTATCACTGTACTTCAAATTTCTGAGCCAGTTTTCTCTTTTGTAAAATAATCATAATAAGACATTTCTTATATTCTGAGGAGCACAGGAAAAGGACCCCCCAAAATGCTTGACCCATGATATAAAACAAATATTAATTTTCTTCTCCCAGTACCTTTTTACTAGCAAAGAAAATATGTGTGTAAAAATAATTTTAATAGCATACATGGTTTAAAATCTTAAATAAGATGACAGGGTCTTTTCTATTTAACTGTATTTTATTTTGTTAATTAAAGCAAGTGCTATTCACGTATGTAATTGTATTAAAATCTGAATAAATTATAATTAAGTCATCAGGTTGAAAAATTGAAATAGTTACCATACTGTGGATTTCTTTTTCCAGGAATATGTTGCAAATTCATTTCTCTTCTAATCAATCCCACTATGGTAAAATACAAAGAAGGAGAATCTATCCTTCTTCAATTGAATAATAGCAATGTTTTATGGCCTCTTCCCCACAAAGACCACTTTATTTGTACCAGGTAACATGCATCTCCCAAAGTATTTCTACTTATTTAGCTTCCAGAGCCTGCTTATAGCGTCTAATATTGCAACTCTAACACTGTGTACAGTGTCAAAGGCAAATACATGCGGCCCTGTGAAAGAAGACTAAGAAGAAAGTGAATTTGTTGCACCTAAGAGAATAAGCAGAGACCATGTTTTGCCCAAGAACAACAGCAGCCTTGTCCATCTGTCTATCATCAAACTGAGTTGTGCCCACTACTCATCAACGGGAGGTGGCCATGTGGGTATCACACTAAAATAGAATTTCTGCCATCAGGAAGATAAGATGGGGAGGGAGGAAAATAATTAACCATTTCAGGATCAGTTTCTAGGTTAGGATGAAGCATACAAGAATCTCTGCTCGTTTCTTACACATGGTTGATATACCTTTGCATGCTTCTATTCACTCATTAAACATTTTCTGGATGCCTGCCTTCTAGATGGCTGGCATTGTGCTAGCCACTGTGGGCGCAAAGAATAATTTATTCCTCTAGGAACTCTGTTTCATGAGAGGGACAAAGAAGATAACAAATAATTATAATACAGCAATAAGGTAACTGTTACTGCACATGTAATATCATATGAGAAGCCAAAGAAAGAAGTAATTAACTATGCAGAACTACGGTAAATTTATAAATTTTTAGGTCGTCTTCTCTAGAATATTCTAGTGTTGGTATATATGCTCAAGAAATCAAATACAAAGGTACAACAGAAAGTCCAGGCATGAAAAGATGGACTTTAAGCAGCTATGTTTGTCTTACAATAGAGGAAAAATGCTATTGTCTTTACCTTCATTTATTGTAGTCTTTAGGTGTGCATGTTTAATTCTTTTATGATTTTTAACCTTCCTAACTACATCTAAACATGTCAGTTTCCATTATACCAGTATGCTTGAAAATGTGACCTTTTGTGTATCACCAAGTAAATGTAGATGTACACACAGATGCAGCTGTAGAAATAAATACAGAGTAAAGATAGCTTCTTCTTTCTGGAAATACTATTTATGATGTAATTCTTAAATTTCACAGTGACATTTTGCCTTCTAGGCAATATCCTAATAGAAAAGGATTGGCATTTAGTAAAATTAAGATGTTAATACAAATAAATCCTCCATATGCTTTAAGACATGCTGTAAAGACCTTCAACCGAAGAAACAAATAGTGAACTGAAGCACTCCAATTTAAACTAACATAGAAAGTCTGAAAACCATCAGCTTAAAAATCCTATTTAAATGTCTATTGGCTTTGTTGCTAACACACGACCTTGGAAGTTCACATCAATTTCACATGAAATTTAGTATTCCTCCCTGAGGCCATTCTTGGGACTAAAAGCTTTGCCAAGTCTCATCTCAGTTATCGCTGCCTTTACCATTTCTCTTTGTTGTCCCTGAGCCATGCGTTTCACCCTGCAGCTACATGAATAAAGACACAGTGTTTCCTCCTTGAACTCTAGCTCTATCACAAGAACAATGCACATTCAGAAGTGGAACGTGGGGTATCTGGCTCCAAGTTTAGGCACTCAACTCACCAGGGTCTGGGTCTGCCTGAAGGACGCACTCAGGATAAGGGCCACACTCTTCCCTCACCCTGTCCTGATGTCCTGCCCTGGAGGCCACCAATACTGAAGTGCTCTACCCACTGACAAATTCAAGAAAACATGGTCACATTGTTACCATGGCCCATCAATCTACAAAGATATCTGAATGCTAAATTTTATCTCTAATCTTCACTTCACTCACATTAATCTTTTTTTAGCCCCAGTACTGGGGATCAAACTCAGGACTTTTCGCTTGCGAGGCAGGCATAGCACCACTGAGCTAAATCCCTGGCATACACATTAATCTTTTTCACATGTCAGAATTTCACTTGTACTATATCCCTTTATAATAAAAGCCACCGTGCCCATGGATATAAATATCTGCCTAGTGTTTTTATTTTGTCCATTTGTCATTCTGTATAAAACCTTAGTCACTGTTCTCGATGAGATCCTCTTAATGTAGCAGTGTGCCGGCTTCCCAGGTACTTTTGTAATTATTTAATGCTGTCCTCTGATAGGAGAAGTGCTGGTGCCGGTGCCTGCTGCTCTCCCTTCTCTAACAAGCATACAAATAGTGTCCTATGAACACATATGTTTTAGCCAAGATCTATGCTATTTTCCATGTTTTTGTCACAGATATCCAATCAACATAGTTTTGATTCATTGTATATATACAAACTACCCCCAAAATGAAGTTAAATAATAAAAAGTAAATGTCCTCACAGACTGAATTAAGTAATAACTCAAGTCCAGGGACTTTGACACATAAATGCTAAAGAGAAAGTCATTCATTAACTTAAGGTCAAAAGGCTTCCGAGCAACTTGACCTTAAATAGAAGCCGATAGAAGCAGTAATTGAGAGCAGTTTATTATTATTATTATTTAACGGATGCTACTGTGAAGGAAATGGTTTATTTTCCTTGATGAAAGTTGTGGTATCTCCTCTATGTTTTCTAATATTCAAAAAAAGCGATGTGTATCAGAAAAGCAGCCTGGAAAAGAGCTAGGCAGCTTTCAGTGTACGAGGGTGTTGAGGTTCCAACACTCCAAGGGCGTGCCAGCTCTGAGGTCGTGAGAAAGGCTTTGCAGTTCAAGCACTGTTAGCCATGGCAATAACACTTCAATTTCAGATCACATGAACCAATCCACTATAATACAGTAGTTCCAGCAATTCTACTTCAAATTCACACAACCATTTGTTAATGCACTTCTGAATTTCTCTGTGATCAATAACGACAACAACCATTTACTGAGCATATATATACAACTTGGGTTCTCTGCCATTTTAATTCTTACCTCAGTCTGTAAAATAATTACCGTTATTGCCTTTTACAGATGAGCAAATAGGCCTCTGTCTTAAGCATGAGTATGTTAACAACGCTGCACTTATGGATAAAAGGAAAAAGGCTTGGATACAGACTTCCTTCCCTGTAACACGTTCACAGCTTAGACGGGCACTCCTGTCGTGACTGCCCACAGTGCACAATGCATTTGCAACCCTCTGGAGCAGGTGTAGATTCAGACGCGTGCCTGGGCCCGCATTAAAAAGTTAATTAGATGGAACTTGAGAGCCTATTTCTAGTAACTCTTTTAATACACTCATCCGAAAATCAGAGCTCCTTTTAGCTTTAAACTACATGTTTTCTATTTTTTACTTGAATGTATAGTTAAGCCACATATTTTCATAGTGAGGAGATAGGTTTTCCGTCAAGAAGAAATAGAATTTTCCCTTAAGGAAAATGGTTTTCACTTTCAATATGCATTTACTAAGTAACTAGTTTTTCAAAAGTTAAAGACCAAGCCTGAAGAGGGCAAAAAGATGAGTCCTGGTGTACACCTGCAAGGGGCTTAAGATCTAATTATGGAGACAGAAATATGTAGTTTAAATCTGAGCAAAGTTTGAAGCAGAGCCACGGCTTGCCTCTGCAAGAAACAACTTAGAAAAACAGGTGGCCTCTCCGAGGAACACACTGGCTTGGTCCCAATATGAAGAAGGTGGCTAAAAACAAGAATCATCTAAGGTAAAATGTTAAAATGAGAAGATTCTGATTCTAGCAGTGGCTCTCAGGGTGGAGGAAGTGGTTTAAGAGAAAGGGAGCAATTTTGGAACTGACACCATCTGCCTGGTGACGTGCTTTACAAGCCACACTGTCCCTGCTGGTCACATCAGAAAGCCCAGGGATGGAAGAGTAAATGATTTGCATCTCGTGTGCCTTAAGAAGGAACAACTAAGAGCCACATTGACGGCCCATGTCTTTAATCTCAGCCATGCTGTTGAGGCAGGAGGATTTCAATTTCAAGGCCAGCCTGGGCAACTTGCTGAGACTCTATCTCAAAATAATAATAAATAATAATAATAGGGGCTGGGATGTAGCTCTGTGCTTCCTGTGTTAAATCCCTAGTACCACACACACACAAAATATTGAGAGCCATAGTGTCTAACATGCTGCAGTTTTTCAGCTCCTGACACCTTAGTGTACATTCACTTTTCTGTTTGTTCGTATTTCATAGCAACCCAGGTGAATATCTAACACCAGAGTCCAGATCCAGATTAAGTCCAGGACTTAATTTCAGCCGGTAAAGATTACCTTCATCACTCATTAAGAGGCTGTCTCTTCAGAAGAAGGCCTGAATCACTGCAAACTTGTGTTGCTTAAACAGGAGTCTGTGATAAAAACAATCATGAAGATGGTTATCGAAAACAAATGATCTTAACTTTTTTAAAAAAAGAAACATAACTTTCTGTGATTTATACTCCTTAAAAACTGGGAAAAATTGTTACCTAAGTCTCCTCTACACGTAAAATCTGAAGCTATCTACTCTCTTTTGAGAAGCTATGTGTCTCTTTCTCTCCTTTATTACTAAAACAAAATGCTAAGAGCACAGTTTGCCGAGTCTATCTTAGTCTTTGTTCTTCAGCTGTTCACACTTCGCACTGCACCTGTGACATGTGGGCAACCCAGTGATGTTTCTACCTTGTTCTCTGCCCACACCTGCCTTTCTTTAGCACTCACATTACATTTGTATGTTTTCCTGCAACACTTACTAACACACTCATTACAGTACACACCCCTTTTATTTTGGGTCTAGCAATTTTTTTCTGTTTTAATCTTAGTAGGAATGTCTTTCTTAATGACCATACAACACGTTAATATGGAAAAATTTAAGTTACAAAAAAAGCATTTTTTAAATGAAGAGGTAGAGCTACTTTTTTACCACATAGACGCTGATGAAAAAATTTGTTATTTTAGCACTTTTCCTATATGTGCTTTTTAACTTTCTACTTTGAAATAATTTTAAACTTACAAAAGTCACAAAAAATAACAGCTCCCACATACTTTTTGCCTGCTTATACCTTTAACATGTTAACATCTTCCATAATAACATAATTATCTAAATCTTCTATGTACATACATTTTGACAAAGTCGAAATCACAGTGTTTATTCACTGGTGTTTCTATATAATAGCATCTTCATTTATATTATTTTAAAAGTCTTCAAAAAATCATTATAATGTCCAGTGGCATACTGTATCAATTCATGTTGCACTTAACTATTTCCACATTGTTGGATGTTGAAATTATTTGAATTTTTTTCCATTATTAATAGCTTTCATCAATAGACGTTACTATGGCTTTTTAAAAGCCTACTAATTTTATAGGCCAAGAAATGTTTGCACATGTTAAATTGCTTTTTTAATTATTATTGAAAGTGAACATTTTGAATGCTTATTGGTCATTTTTTATTTCATCTTTCATAAATTATTTAATTAGGCCCTTGCTCTATATACTTATTAGTGTCCGAATGTGTTACTTACAAATTTATGTAAGGTTTACGTATTAGGAATATTAAGCTTTTGATTCAAAGACTGTCAGTTTTTATTGCTTGATATTTGCCTTTGAATTATTTTGCTCTCATTTTGATGATCTGAAACCATTTTCCAATTGTAAATATATATTTATAGTAGTGTAAAATATATTTTATCATAATAATTGAAAGATATTTCCAAAGGAATAAGATCTCTATTTCCTGTTTCTCAAACTGAGACCCACTAACCACTTAGTATTTGAAGATGTGAGAACTACAAGAATTTCCTTTTCTTCTTTTTTTTTCTCTTTTCAGGACTTTCCTTAATTTGTATACTATTCAAATTTAATAAAAACTACAGTAGACATGAAAAGTTAAAGGAGGAATCTGTGCTTACAATGAGATGGCCTTTCCTACACATGAAAACGTTTATCAAGGGATCCGTTTATATTCATGTTCTCCAGCGGTAAGTATTTTATACTAGCTTAATGTCTTAGAAGTATTTGTAGCTAAACTAAAAACTAATTTCTTTTCCGTTGTTACAACCTACAAGTTGAGAGCCGTATCCACTTCTTGGTACCAAATGGCTTCGATGTCCCCAAATGGCTTCACTGTCCCCGTGTGCACCACATTTTCTCTAATGTCACCCGTTCCTGCCCTTCGACTGCAATACCCTCCCTCTGCTCTCCCACCATCGCCAGCTGGAAAACTCCTGTGCCTCATCCTCTTTCCTCCCCACGACCCACAACTGTCTCATGATTGTATTTGCCGTTAGTTTTTCTGTCTGGGCTACATTATCCTGGCAGATCCTGCATGGCTGTTACCCCTTCCCAACGTCAGTACTGGAGAACAGGAGGTGCAGTCACCACCCTAAGTCCTGTACCCAGTGAGGTTCCCCATAGATAATCCGAGCACCATTAACATTTATAAAATGCACTACCCATAAAAAGAATCATCTCCTTAGAGAGTTAGAGGAAGCTCAGCCTTGTTCCCTAGATTCCACTGCTAAGTGATATGGCAAACTCATCTTCCAACTCTGCCGTCACGTGTCTTGTGAGCCTCACAGCTTCTGCTAGGCACTGTCAAATGCTTTCTGTTTGGTGAGAAGTGGGTCAGAGCCAAGATAACACCTTTCCTCAGGAAGATGATTAATAATCAACAACTGTTTTCTTTAGCTTTTTCATTTAATTTTAAACTTGAGGGCAGTTGGAAGATACTATAATTTGAATGCGTGTTCCTTCTCAAGTTTTTGTTGAAATCTAACTGCCATTTTAGTAGTATTGTGAGGCAGGACCTTTAGGAGGTGATTAGGCCATGAGGGTCCACCCTCAGGAGTGGATCAATCCTGTCATTGTGAGAAGGTGATCCTCACAATAGGATGAGTTTACCCTACTTTGTCCCTCTTGCTAGCTCCTTTTCTTTTCTCCTCCAGCATGTGGCACCTCCTGCCATGTTGGGACATAGCAAAAACGTCCTCGCCAGGTGTGGTCCCTCCACTCTGAACTGCCTAGCCTCCAGAACTGTGAGCCAATAAGCTTCTGTTCACTACAAATCACCCAGTCTGTGGCATTCAGTTATAGTGGCATAAAACACACTAACAAAGAAAAGTAGAGAAAAGAGCTAATTGCATACCTTCTAACCAAATTCACCAGTTGTTACCACCTTGCCACATGTGGTTTCTGCCTTACTCCATGTACATGAGAGTGTCCACACACATACACAGACATACACACACACCCATACTCACAGCACTTTCCCTGAGCCATTTCAGAGCTACTTGCAGAATTGCGTTCCTTTATTCCTAAATACTTCAGTGTTCATTTCCTAAGGACAAGGACATTCTCATATACAACACAATGCCTTTGTCAAATTCAGGAATCTAGCGCTTATCCAACACTCTTATCTAATACACAGTCTATACATATTTTGCAACAATTATCCCAGTAATGTCCTTTATAAAAATCCTTTTCTCTGATCCTTCAAACTTACACATTACACCTGTTTGGCATGTTTGTTTTTCAAGACATTGAAATTTTTCAAAAGTACTTGAGCAGTTCTTTTGAAGAATGTACTTTTGGGTCTGATGTTTCTACTTGATTGGATTCATTTTATGGGTATGCATTTTTAGTAGTAATACTGTATAAATAATCTTGTACCTCTTTCAGTGTATACCATTGAAATTATATCTCAATTTATCCTATCATTTATGATATCAACTTTGACCACTCAAAATTGGTCAAGTTACTCCACTGTTAAATCATCATTTTCATTTTTAAATTAATAAGTAGTCTTTGTGGAGATATTTTGATAATATGTATTCTTCAAATTTTTAGCATCCATTGATTATTCTTCTGAATCTATTTCCATAATGGTTCCAAAACAGTGATTTCCTATGTTCATTGTTCCTTCTTTTTTTTTTTTTTGGTAATGGGGATCGAACTCGGGACCTTGTGCTTTTGAGGCAGGCAGCAGAACCACTGAGCTAAGTCCCCAGCGTTCCTTCTATGTTTATTAGTTGATGTAACATTCTTTCTTGTAAAAGTTCATTTTTGGGAGGGAGGGGGTACTGGGGATCAAACTCAGGACCCTGTGCTTGCAAGCAGGCATGGTGCCACTGAGCTAAATCCCCAGCCCCCTGAAAGTTCTTCTTAATTGTACTTTTATTCTTTGTATGTACTAGTTCACGTTTTTAAAAAGGTGTCTTTAAATGTATTTTTAAAATTTAATCACAGCTTTCTTTACTTTTACATTTCAAATGTTATATGTTAAGAAGCCCAGAGCTGACATTTCATAATTCTCAATTTAACCATTTTCTATTTCTTACATCTTTGTTGGAAGCTTCCGAAGTCTGCTTTCAAATTTCTAATTATAATCTAAGCCCAATCCTGTCTTGTTAAACTGCTACCTAATCACTCCTGGAAAATGTCTACTCCCACCTAGGAATCTTTATAATATAGCTCTAGTTTTGGGTAGATTCACTTTTGTCATGTTTCAGCATACAGTGGTAAGGAAAACTGTCTGATTCTATAATTTAAAAACCAGTTTCTTTCCTATTCCACTAGTTCAGTCCTTGCTTTGGCAGCAAATATACTATTCCACTAGTTCAATTTATTGTTCAGATAAGAATCAAAATAAAATTTTCAGAGAATGATTGATCTAAAACTTCTAGTACAAAATACATTGGGTGCTAACTTTCTGAAATGTAATGGCTTTTTAAATGTGCTTACTATGAAGCAACTGCTATACTGAATAATTTAGGCAATTTTGCTAGTAAACACTATTCAGATAGTGTATGTCAAGAGCTGAGGGGAGGGAGAGGGAAAGAGAGAAGGATGGATGCAGGATTTCTTAGAAGTTTCTGCCTGAAGGAAGGGGATGTTTCATGAAGGAATGCGATGCCCAACTTTGAACACAATTAACCCTGACATACCCATAGCTCAGTCTGGATAAACATATATTAAGAGACTTTTTAAGCATATTACTTTATTTTTATAAATTTCTAGTTCTCACTTGCAAAATAAGAACATTAATGGCATCTACCTAAGATGATTGCTGTGGAAATGAAATTAGACAATTGATGTGAAGTTCCTAGCATAGCTTCTGACAATAAATCCTCCATCAGTTGGGGGTTATTATTGTAGCCTTTGTCCTCGCTACTACACTATTCCATTTGTGGCTTCTCTCCCCCTCTTTCGAGCACCTGCAGGTACTTGGCAGGCCTGGGAGCTTGGTTTTGAACAACGTCTCAGGCCCTCCCAATTTCCTCTGTCTTGCTACAGCTAACGAGTTCACGACTGGCTATAACCTGAGCTGCTCTGACAGAGAGGAACCAGGTTGGCTGGAGATACTGTTGAGATTGCTTAGCTAGGCAAGTATGGTCCTGTGGTGGAGAAGGTACACTGAGCTCCAATACTGCGTGACAGTCTCCTTCTTAAAAGCATCCAACTTACTTTCTTCTAATTTTCTACTTTCTTAGCATCCTCTAGTCCTTAATTTTATTTCCCTAAGCTTTCTTTCCTATAGGGAATCAAATGTGCTGACACGATGACAGGAGTGTTCTAGTCCCACTTGGCAGCTAATTTCCTCATAGAGACTTGTAAATTAATGTTCTGGTCTATAATGAGACTCTTGTAGATTCGGTTAGAAAGAATCAATTTGCCTGGGCCTGTTAACCTCTGGGTGACCATATGATAATCCAGTTTCTGAACCTGAAAGCTGTGTGTCATACCACACCCTGAGTGCGCAATGATGACCCAGTAAGGACACACACACACTGTGACACAGACTGGACTCGGCTACTCAGATTTGACAATATAACATTTCACTGAGTTCTTGTGACTGTAAAATGAGTTAGTACCTATTGAAGCACATAGAATATGTTAGACTTTCAATTGTGTTAGCCTAATTTTTATCTTTTAAAACCACATGCCACACACACGGAAAAAATTCAAGCCTGAAAAGCTTTGTGATGAACAGAAATGATCTTAAACTTTTCTGACACGCCATCACAATCTATTCCTCATCCTCCTTCCTCAAAAGGGTTTTCTTTGTAGCGTTTTCCCATTCAGGCAACTACCTTTTGTAATTAGCTTCCTTTGTAGTTTATTCCTCCGTAATGCTTAGAGAAAGGATTTGTGGGGTAAAATAATATCTGAGAATAGCCTTGTATATTCTGAAGAATGATTTATTTATAAACTCTGTTCTTGTGCAAGTTGCTTAACTTTTCTACATCTCTGTGTCCCATAAGTTAGTAGCCATGTCTCACCAGCCTACTCTACAATATCTTTTGTTGTGCCTTCCCTAATGCGAATAGCACATATTGACTACTTAATCCTTAATACTTAGTACTAAGTAGGCACTACTGACATTCTTGTTAAATGTTTAGAAATAAGTATTTTAAGATGACATTTTATTCACAAATCTCATTTTTTTACAGTAAAAAAGTAGAAATCAGTTACTAACTTGCTATACAAAAAAGTTTAAACTTCTGGTTTAAAGAAATATAACCAAAAATTCATTGATCACAGGTTGAGAACAGACTTTCATGTAGGTTATCTATAAGCCAACCTCAACATCAGTATGATGGGTGGGTACATGAATGCATTAGTCAATTGATTGGTAGAAGACTTTATTCATATGAAAATATATATTGTTCATTTTTTTCAAAGCATAAATTTCCTGAACTTTTTTTCTCTTTTCATTTTGGGGTTTTATCTCTTCTGATTGCTCAGAGAACTGTGCTCCCAATAACTAATCCAACAAATCTATCCATCTAGAGCTTCTATCACTTTTTAAAAATGATGACACCTTTCAGTACGGATTAAAATCACAGTGCATGAGAAATGCTTCCATTTGCAACTCTTGGATTTTACAGTATCTTATTTGTTTTCTAGAAACTAACTTTCTATTTTACCTAGTTAATATCTGTGGCTATGTAATTTTTTTAAATGATAATTGTTCTATTCCTTTAACCTTTGCTAGTAACAGTTAAAGAAGGTAGATGGATTTTTTTAAATTTTTTATTTAAATCTATCACTGCTGCCATATAGCAGAAACCAAGACAACAGTTTGAACATCAACATATCAAGTCAAAAATGGAAAAAATTGGACTTGTACAAGTTTTGGGGGCTTTTGGGGGCAAGGGACGGGCTTTTCTAATAAACCTCACATGTTTTCCAGAGGAAAAAGTAGAGTATATTTATAATTCATTTTGCTTCATCATTTATCTACAATCACTGTAGTTTAAATAAAATTACTTATATTTTGTGGATTTCAGTTTTCTTCAGCTCAATTGGTTTAGTTTTACAAGCATTACTAATGACTGGGGCCCAGGCACTACACAGTGTTTTAAGGAGCCAAAGATTAGCAAGACATATTTTTAACTTTTATGAAGTTCGCATCAAAATAATTGTTTTAATTGCTTTTTCAAGGTTTCTGTCCTTACAACTATTATAATCAAAATGATTTTAATTTTACCAGTTTTATATTTGGTTATTTAATAAAACATACGAGTGATGTAAGATATCTGAAAAATCACTAGTCTAAAGGATGCTGAAAACAAATTACAATGCAGTCTCGTGAACAGTAATAGAAATGTGTTTGCCCAGCTTCCCCAGGTTTGCCCCAGTTCTCCTAAAAAAAAGAGTGTGTGATTTAGGGAGCAAGAATTAGGAAAGTAGAGGACAAGCAGGGAAATGAAGGACAGTCAAAAAATATTATTTACTTGATTGGCCACTCATACAAGTGGCTGGATATTCAGTTTATAGAACACCCTGACAAATCTCTTGGAGAACAGGACGTATTTACCTGTTACTACTGTCCTCCACATTAGCAAGGATAGTCCCCCAGGGCATTAACTCCCTGTAATTCTAGGCTGCACATGCACGGCTAAAGAGCAAAATCCCACAGATGTCCCATGCTCCTTCACGTCAGTAATTCCTAAGTGATAGAGTGGGAAAAAGAGAAGCAAGAACTGCAGAGCTCTAAGGTAAGGCACTGTCATTTTGTGCCTCCATGAACCTGGACAGTGACGTCCCAGAAATGGTCACTGCAGTCAGGAGGCCAAAAAAATCTGAAATGGTGCATAAGCAGCATCTAATATGAGAGTATACTATAAGATCAGAAGTAGAACTGAGAAGAGAACCATTAATTCTGCCTAGAGAGAGGGGGATCAGAAAAAAAATTCCTCAGAAAAAAATTCTCAGAAATTTTCCTCAGAAAAAAAATCTTAAAATGAATAGAAGTATCAGATGGCCCAGAGGGATGAGTATGCCAGACAGATGGAGCTACATATACCATAAGACATAAGTTTTAGATAGAAAAGTGTATTTGAAGAACTATAAGAAAATCAGTACTGCTGGGGTTGAGGTAGCAGTAGACAAAGTTAGAGATGAGGGCAAAATCCAAAACATAATGAACTTGATTCAGTCATGTTAAAAGTTTAAATTTAATTCTAAAAAAAAATGGACAGTCATTTGAGTAGTTTTAAACAAAAAAGCAAAGTGAATTTAGGGGAGGGTACAAACAAAACTACACCAATTAACATTATTATATTCATGAAATGAGAAATGGAATGTGTGAAAAGGAAGCAGGAATTGCAAAATGATCAAAATAATAGAATTTTGCCTGCATAAGTACTCCTATGTTAAGAAAACATATTGTAAGCCCTAGAGAAAACACTAAAAATAATAAAAGGTATAGATAAGAAGCCAATAGAGAAAATGAGATGAAACACACAAAAAATATTCAATCATCTCAAAAGGAGACAGAAAACAGCAACAAAAAAAAATAGAATGGTGAATGTAAACAAATATCAGACGGTACCTTTTTGCCTAAAAATGTTAATTATGTTAAATGTAAATAAACACCCAAACTTAAAAGAAAGTTAAATGCAACATGAACTTCTCAAATATTATACCAAGTGAAAGAAAGCGGACGAAAGAGAGTATGAGCTACCTAATTACATTATGTAAAACTCTACATTAAAGCCACTTTATTTTTTTCATAAGCTTACTCTGGGTCCTCCTGACAACTGCTAAATCTATTTATTTTTTAACTGACTCATAAAATTGTACATATTTATGTGATATCATGTGATGTTTTAATGCATGTGTGATGTAAGCATCTCTATGTACTAAAACACTTATCCTTTCATAAAACCATTTTAATATTGATAGAAATGAGATCAGTGTTTTATGGAACAAAGGACTAGTGCAGGACATTGCCTGCAAAGATGCAAGAGTAAATTTTGGGGAAGATGAAAATGTTCTATATTTTAATTAGCTTATTGGTGATACCGGTATATTACATTTCTCAAAGTCATTGCCCTGAATACTTAAAAATTCTGTGATATATAAATTATGCCTAAACAAAACTGATGAGAAAAATAAGCAAACAAACATCTCTGAACTTTCTAACTTCAATGAATCAACAATGATTGATAGAGACATTGTAAGAGAAAAAGGATGTTTGGCCTCACCTTATAGGGTTGTTTGCATGGGATTCCAGTTTGACACCTTGCCACTCTACTAATGGCTGGAAGACAAAGGATGAATAAGGCATCATTTCCCAAACTTGAAGAATTATCACATTGTCTAATGTAAGCTATATGAAAACAACTTAATTTACTACATGATGAGACTTGTTTGAATAGAGTTATAAACAAAGTTATGAAGAGTTTATATAAATGCAGTTATACATTGTATGTAAAGTTATGAAAGAGACTCACTATATTAAGAATTCCCCATCAATAGGTGAAAAACAAATATTCATATGTCCACACAATATAATACTTCTGAACAATAAAAAGCAAATTATTGAACATCCAATGACAACGATAAATTTCAAAATAATTGTGAAAAACCACTGGAATGGTTTTACATTAAACAGTAAAAAAAAAGTCACAGCCATTACCACTAGAGAGTATATATTGTATAACTGTGTGTACATAAAGCTCCAGAAAATAAAAATGAATCTGCAGTGATAGAAAGCATATCAGTGATACTGCTGAAGGAGGGGATAGGGAGGAATGAGAGAGATTAAAAAGAAGAATGAAGCCATTAGGGTAACGGATACATTTATGATCTTGACTGTGGTGATCTGAAAGTTTTCTGATTCTTTTCCCTTCATGAACAATTAATCATATTCTACTCTACTCTGCTGCTGTGCCTTATACTGGTTTCACAGCTGATACATACGTCAAAATGTATCAAACTGTTAATTTTAAATATGTGCAGTTTAGGCAATTATACCTCACCAAAACTACTTTTAAAACTATTAAAAGAATCACCAAATATGAGAGGGAGAAATAGGTTACAGCTTAACAATCTGCATTTGAAACTAAATTTCTAACATTAAATATAATGACGAAAATATCATCAAGTTGGAATAATGACACTGGCTGATGCTTACTGTTTACTCTGAGCCAGCCACTTAGGTAAGCCTCTCACTTGCATTTTTTCATTTCATCCTCACACAAACCTTATCAAGTGCACAACAGTAATAGTCCCAAGTAACAGATGAGGAAACTGAGGGCACAGTTAGAAATGTGTACAGTTGTAAATAAGTAACAGAAAACCCCACTGCAATGGCTTAAAGAAGTAACTGTTGGGGCCAGGGATTTAGCTCAGTGGTGTTGCCCCACTGCCTCACAAGTGCAAGGTCCCAAGTTCGATTCCCAGTACCGAAAGAAAAAAAAAAAAAGATGAAGTAACTGTTGTTACACTTTAAAAGCAAAAAGAGAGCTGCCAGCAGGCAATCAGTCAGTTTTAGCTGTTACTGATGTGAACAAGGACAGAAATGTTCCTTCCCTCTTTGCTGCACCAGGCATGACATGCTTGCTGTCTAATAGTTACCTGACAGCTGCTTCTTCAAGCATCACAGGGCTCCATACAGGAAGAACAGAGAAAGACCGAAAGGGAAGACAGTCCTACTAGCTGAATCTCCTAGCTTCCTTGGAGGCCCCACCCAACAGGATTTTAATTATTTGTCCTCTGTCATAATGGTGTCACAGAGCCACCCTCACCTGGAAGAGGGCTAAAGAAAAGGGGAAGGTAGATGGAGGCTAGAGAAGGAAACCAGTCAGTTTCATGACTGCTACTGAAGTAGATTCAGGATTTGACATTGATTTCTTATTACCCAAGCTTTTGCTACTAACCATGATGCTATGTGAATAAAGCTCTCTAAATTCTCCCAAAAGGCATCTTAATATGGCAAGCAAAAAGACGAAGTTTCATCCAGAGAAAAAATTAATTTGACATAATATGAATACTACAAGGAGCACGTAGATGATATTTGACACATTAATTTCTTATCTTTTGGAGGAGCACAGGTAATTGCAAAAGTAGGGGCAAAGGAAGAAGTCAATAAAATATAGGGAGGTGGGGATGCTGATCTATAGATTAGCTTCATAGTGCTTTTATCAGATGACTTTCCCTCTTTTCTAGGTGGGACCACACCTAGAGGGAGTCCCTTGGTGCTCTGTTAGGGTAACTTACATGTTCTACACTGTTTTCTGGGCGGGAAAAGGATGCAAGGTAGGCAGAACACCACCTCTGAGGAAATGAATTTTTGAAAATATGAAAGAAAAAGAACACGGTTCACATTTAGAAGGGGTAATTGTTTCCAAAGTATTCTTTATTCAAGTCAATTCCAGCATGAGATCAAGTCTGCACACATTCAAACTGCTAATTGATAGATTTTAAGCCATCTCACCTTAAGATGTCTGCTATATGTAATAGCTGCCTTTTTTTTCCATAATACCCTGCTTCCCACCTAAACCCAGTTCCAAGGTGGCTCTTTTCCCGCCCAAACTGGCCTTATTTTTCCCATAATACCCAGCTTCCCACCTAAAGCCCAACCCCAAGATGGCTTCTCCCACCAAAAGACAACCTTCTTCTTCCCAACATGCCCCTTTTCCCACCAAAAGAGTAACCTGATACTTGCTCTCTTCCTAGTAACTAGAGATATCACAGGCTCCTCCAATCCCCAGTCACGCGCCTTTCAAACCCTCCAATCCCTAACCATTACATCCCCAAACCCCACCCTAGCTCTCAAAGAAGCTCTCCCTACCCTGACCACACTGCTGCACTCCTTGTTCAGAGACAGCCCAGCAGATTGTCCCTGCAACAAAGGCTTGCTTTGGTTCTGGTCTGGTCTTGGTTTTCAGCTCTTTTACCTGACAATAACACTGTGGGAACAGTAGTCTGATCAATTAGAATGCATGCTATCTATTTGCTCAAGAATCAGGAACTGTGAAAAGCATTTTGTCAGTTATAAAATATTACATGTGTTAATTGCAATTTTTAACTCAATATAGAATTTGGGGTCAGTAAACCAAACATTAAGAAACCACTTTTTAAGTCTAAATTATTGAAGCTTCATTGGATAGTAGCTCATTCCAAAAATATATGAATAAGTCAGCAGCCATGTATTGAGCACCTACTGAGTCATGCACTGCACTGGGTTTAGAAATGAATTAAAGAGGGCCGGGGATTTAGCTCAGTGGTTTTGCCGCCTGCTACGCAAGTGCAAGGACCCGAGTTCAATCCCCGGTACCAAAAAAAAAAAAAAAAAAGAAAGAAATGAATTAAAGCATAATCACTATTCTCAAAAAAATAAAACCACAGCCTAATTAATGATGCTAATTTAACAAGTGCTATATTAAATTTGTGAGACTGACACAACAAATGTCCTTCTAAGTCTGATTTCTCTTCCTTTCACACGTCTCATTTTAATTCCTCCTTCAGAGCGAACAGTGAGATAGCTGAGCAAGATGACAAGCAATAACAAAAGCGCTGAGACGTTTTCAAAGGCACAATTTTAAAAACATATTATCTGAGCCAGGCATGGTGGTACACTCCTATAATCCCAGTACTCTGAGAAGCTTTGGCAAGGAGAATTATAAATCTGAGCCTTGCCAGAGCAACTTAGCAATTTAACAGGCCCTGTATCAAAATAAAAAACCAAAAAGGACTGGAGATAGAGCTCAGTGTGAAGACCTTAGGTTCAGTCCTCAGTACTGCAATATACACAGTAGGTAGGGAGAGAGGGAGGGAGGGAGAGAGAGGAAGGAAGGAAAGAAGAAGGGAGGAAGGGGGGCTGGGGCAAAACATTGGAAAAGATCAGTAAGATCAAGTGTTGGTTTTGGAGATATAGCAGCTATTTTCTCTTGGAGATTTCAAATTGCTACCTGGAAATTAGCAAAGCTATCACTTTGTACTAAAACCGACAGCAGTGGCTGTCTAAGCACAGTGCACTGCCCTTTGTCATCAGCAAGCAAAGCGAGTGCACAAGGCTGATGTCGCAGTTCATGCACAGAAAAGGAAAAACTCCATACTGACCTGGATGGGGGGAAAAACAAGTAAAGATCATATTCAGAGAATTCCCAAGCTTTCATGTAGAACTACAGAACAAAAACAAATAGTGTATAATTCTTTCAATATCATCAATAATTCTGTGGTATTTTGATGTGAACCCTGAGACATCAGTATTGAGTCACTATCATGAAACTGTCCTCGAAAAGCACATTCGTGTAAAACCAAACTCACTCAGAGAAGGAAAAGTAGGAGTGGCATAGGTGATACATTTTTTCCTAGCATCAACAAAGATAAAATAGCATTTCTTGTCATTAAAGAAAGTACATAATATCACTGATAGGGACCAAATAAGATCGCCAAGATGAGCACCCTCACTTTGCCCCTTGTTGCAGGTATGGTGTAGATGTGCAGAGAGCCACTGGCTCACAAGAAGCCTGCTAACTCCTGACAAAAAAATCTCACCAACATGAGACCGCGAGAAAATAACAGTATGTGTTACTAACATCTTAAATTGGACCTCACTAACTATAGTTCTGATAAATGATTCCTAGTAAATGCTACTGGTTCGTAATAAACGGTTCCTAATAAACATAACATTTCTGGCCCAGACAGGTGTAACAGGAAATCATGATGAATAGTCAGAGAAAGGGAAGCAGAGCTGGAATAGAGTATTAAATGACAGAGAGAATATGAATAACAGAACAATCTGAAGGCTAGAGGTTACAACAAGCAAAAGTTCAGAGCTGGAATGCAGGCAGGTTGAGTGGCTGGGTCACAAAAAGGACAGTTCTGGCTGTCACGGCCAGTTAGCACCAAGCAGTGGTCTGATAATACTGAACATTAGGTTACCACTGCTGAGTAGTATGTTCAGAAGTTTGAATTTCATTCAGTGGCTAAGGAAAAATTACTGAATGTAGAAAGTAATGATTGTTCAGTAACAGATAAGGATACTGACAATTATCCTACATCTCGACCTCAAGGAAAAAAATATGAGCAAGATACTAAAGCCTCGATGGACATAAGAGACTAAGAACATTTGAATTAATTATTGTAAAGAGAATGGATAGGATTGGCTTCCAGACATATCTAACTCAAATGAGACCTTTTGGGCTCTATGATACAAAGAGCAAGAAAGAATAAGAAGCATTCATCCCAAAAAGCTCCTTGGGAAAATATCCTTTTGGAAAAACCAGGCCTCTGAAACGGAGGGAAATTGGAAGAGGAATCAACCCACAGATATGGAACCAATCCATAGGAGGAGTTGGTCATGAGACCTTGTGAAAATTAAGTGAAATGCTTTATGGAAAGTGCATGAGGCATGAATGATTGAATGGTACATCAGGGGACAGTGCTAAACTTCACTCCACAACTTTCCCAGGAAGTTACCATTTTAAAAAACAACTAAGACTTCAAGAGGCATGTTAGAGTTTGTTATATATGTCCCTCTAAACTTCATGTAGAGGTTTAATCACTTACATGATAATATTAAGAGGTGGCTTCTCTAGAGGGTGATTAGGTCTTGTAGCCCCACTCTTATAAATGAGATTAGTGATCTTATTTTTTTAAACATCTTCATACACTGTTCTTCCTTTTTGCCCTTGTGTGCTTCTGCTCTTCTGCCACATGAAGATGTAGCAACAAAGGACCATCTTGGGGAAAAAAGCAAGCTCTCACTGACACTGAAGTTCCAGCAACCTTGATCTTGGACTTCCTACCCTCTAGGGCTATTAAAAATAAATTCTTCTGTTTAAGCCACCCAGTCAGATATTTTGTTGTAGAAGCCAAAATGACTAAAATAAAGCAATTGGAAGGAAAGGTAATTTTTCTCATCCTCCTAAAAATACCACTGCCTCATTGTATTCCCATCCACACTTCTAGTAACTGAGTGGATCAATTCATCTCAAACTACTGAGATTTCAAGGACATTTAGCTCCTTGCAATAAAACACCCTCTCAAATATAATGGAATTATCATGATAATTTATTATAGGAATTCAGAAAAGTTGCTAGTTCCTGCACTCATTGATCCTTACCATTTTGCATCATACCTAGCACAAAGTAGGTGCCTACTGAGTACACCCTCAAACATTTATCCATATCCTGAAAGCACAAGGATCAAAGGAAAACTGAATTTCACCAAAATTTTAAAATCTGTGTGCTTCAAATAATACAATTAATACAATCCACAAATCATATATCTAATAAAGGACTCTTCTCTAGAATATATAAAGGGGTGTATAACTTGACAATGAAAAGATAAAACACCTAAGAAATCATGACCCGAGGGTATGGAGAGATATTTCTCCAAAAATATACACATGGTGAATAACACATGCAATGATGTTAATCATTGGTCATTAGAGAGATGCTAATCAAAATCACAATGAGGTACAATTTCACAAGATGGCTATAATCAAAAAGACAGATGGTAATGAATATTGGTGAGGACGTGGAGAATCTGGAACCTTCATATACGGCTGATGAGAATGTACACGATATAGCCACTGTGGAAAATAATTTGACAACTTGTCAAAAAGACAAATGCAGAGCTACCATATGACCCATATATCCCTCCCACAGTGTAAAGATATGTTCACAGAAAAGCTTATGCCAATATTTTCATGGTAAC